CTGCCCCCAAGGAACAATGAAAAAAGTAAGATAAAAAATACGAGTCGAGTTATTAGCAGCTGTTCCCCACGATTAAGATTCATGATTGGTTTTCAATGTTCTGTCAAATCACCAGCCTTTACAAAAGTAAACAAATAATGGCTTTCATCAAAGTTTTTTAAAATAGTAACTCGGACGACATTGGCTGCCGGCGCTTTTCTCTACAATTTCACCGTCAACTGATACAATTAGGCGCCAATACATTGAATAATATTGTATTATCTTTATTAAAGACAACTGCCCAAATATCGCATGGTAAGTCGTTTGTATCTTCACAAGCCCACAAGATGGGCAGAAATTGAAAATTGGCTAAAAGATAATTTCCATGCTAATTACTGGAAGTAACATCAATAGCCCTGTAAGATTTCACCTGCAATTGTCTAACTTATTCTCTTTTTTCTTATTTTTTCCACATTTTAATTATACACACCCAGGACTGACAGCGCGCAACTAAAGATAAACTGCACTTCTATTGAGTTTTCATTCGGCGTGCAGCTGCGTAAGATGGCTGCTTTATTCAATCGGACTGATTTTTGGAACTTAAGGATAGACGCCGCAATGAACGCGTACATAGCAAATCATCAAAAAGAATTTATTACTTTTGCATGGATCCAAGGAGTCGTTTTGTGTTTCGTCAGCTTCTTAACAATCTTCGGCAACGCCTTTCTTATTTACGCATCATGGAGAGACCCTTTCAAAAACTTGCATTCTTGGCCAGCACATTTGCTTCTTCAATCAAGTGTAGTCGCTGATTTGCTCGTTGGGTTGGCACTCGCTCCAATGCAAGAATACTGGCTGTTTTCGCAGTTAGAAGCTCAGACTTCCGCCTTGTCGTTTCACATTATACTTTCACTAACATCCATACTTATTGGAGTTTCGGTAGCACATGTTTTGCTACTCACAGTCGATAGGCTTTTCGCAATCATGAAACCTTTCAGGCATAAATGCATTGCCACTCGTCGAAGGATACGCTTGGCGGTCCTTGTCCTCTGGTTATATTACATTTGTTTCGGAATTATGCTCCTCTGCCTTAAAGACAGATTTTTCATTGTGAATATCGTTTTCATTGTACAAATGTTCATTACCTTGCAATTAACATTTTGCTTTTACGGTGTGATGGTGTATCGGCTTCGCAGAAATTACAAAGAGTGGCATCAGCGAATCTTACGGGGTTCCGTTCACGTCACTCACCAAGAACAGTACACTCACATGGAAGGGCGCTTGGCGAGATCCATAGCGTTTGTCATTTGTTTTTCTTTATTTTTTATAACACCATTTTTTGTGCTTATTTTCTTGCTATACTTTTGCAGACAGTGTTACTTCCATCCACAAATGGTTTTCGTCTTTGTTGGGGTTGAAACAACGCTCCTGTTCCTGAATTCAGCGTTAAGACCTTTGATTTACTGCTGGCGAATCTCAAAGTACAGGGAGATTTTCAAACACTATTTTCAGGCAATTGTTCGCCGCTCCAGTGATTCAAAAAGGAAATGCAAACAAACAAAAACCTTTGATACAAAACTCTAGAATTGGTACCGCTCTTCATTTTTTATCCGCACGTATTATTAATGGAGGCTTCCTCATAAAGCTAGCTATAGTAGTTGGTGTACTGAATCTGCTTGAAATATAATCAGGTTATATGCATGTATATGGAATAAGTTTGAATCTTTTTAGACTCTTCAAGTTGAAATTTTGTAAACAACCTAATTTTGAGAGTCTATCGCCCAGTTTTATCGCCCAACTTATCCCATATTTTTGTTATCAGCGAGTACATCACGATAATTGGTGTCACCTCTTATTTTATTTTTTTGAGATCAAAATGGACTCGGCGCGTCCAAATTACAGTTTAGATAAACTTCTCACATAAGTCTCCAACTCTCTTTATTAGGCTACTAGTTATTGTTAAAAAAAGCTAGCAACCCATTAAAAAAGTAACGCTTATTATCAGAGCTGTTGGGTATGAAAATGTAATACCGTGAATCCTCTATTAAACCCCCCTCTCTCTGAAGCCCTCCTTTTTAGGGGAAGAAAGTTATAAGCCCCCTCCCCTCCCCTAGTGATTCTTCACTGATATTTGATAGACTGTATTAATCAATCACAATTGTAAAACTTCGTGTGGAGTGATCCAGGATAGTTTATTCACCAACAGGAAGTCAGACGGATTTGTTTTTGATCCTCGGCTCCATGACCTCCAACTTCTTGTACTTGAGCTTTTCCACTTTGTATTTTAGGTCAGAATCTTTTCTAAATAAAATAATCCCCGCCCCCCCGCAGATGACAGACTTACGACTCACAATATACGTACTAGCTTTCCGCAATCCTCGCAACTCAGTTTGTGGTCGCCGATGTCTTTACTTCCAGGTATTGCTTTAAAGACCTTTAAATGTGCATGTACAAATTGATGCACCATTTTTATCGCTGTTTTTCGCAAACCTTTACGACCCTTTTACCTAAGGATACTACAGCATCAGTGCAAGTTATGGTTTGCTTTTGGAAAGCTAGAACTAAGGTAAATGGCGTTATCAGTCGTTTGCTAAGTGAATAGAAAATTCCAAACTGGCTTTCGTTTCGAAGTTGAGTGTCGGCTGACTGTGGCAAACTCTCACGTACCTTATGTTTATGGTACAACAACAAGAATCTGGATTTGTCAGTAACCTTTACTACTTCTTTCTCGATGCTGGTGTTTGAAATTTGACAACATCATGGCATATATTGCTTTTCTTTACCCTTGATAAAGTTTCACAGGCACTAACCGAAAAAAAGCTAGAAAGCAGTACCGTAAATATAATTACGACTACGTAAATGATATATGGAAGAAAATGTACAGAGGGAATCGCAAGGCGAAACAGAAAAGAATTACCGAAAGCAAAAGAAAATACACACATTTGATTCCGAGTCTTTATTTGAGCGTGGGAGGATAAACTGGAATTTTTCCTTTTCATCGTCTTGTAATAATTTGAATAACTAAAAACTCTATTCATATTTTGTCAACTCTTTCATATCCTTTTAAAGGGATCAGAAACTTAAGGCTTTTCTAGGTGCTTGTAGTGTAAGGCAGAATAGAGAGAAACGAGAGAAACCCATAGAAAAGATCCGTAAAAGTTACCTTAACGGTTGTCATCCGTGACATTCACCACCCAATGAGTGCTGAATGTATAGTAGTTGAAAACAATTTTACAATGGTTAATAATGTCGTGCTCGTTTTAGATTGACACTTGAATATGTTGTGATTTTAGAAACCAGTTACAAATTTTGTGGTGATATTTATTGGATTGTTCATTAAAACTGACTGGAAAGCTCTTTAGGATGGCATACATTGTTTACTCCCTCTTCTTCAGTTCTTGGTACAACAGGCGACGCTCGCCAGACGCCTTATTGTCTTTAAGGTTGTTTAAATTGCAAAATAACTCTTTTCTATCGATTTCTTTTTAAATAGTATTGGGTAGTACAAAGTCTTTGAAACGGATTTAACTGTACGTGTCAGAGTAAGAGATTTGAGTAAGTCAACTCCCAACGTATATAATGCATGTGATATATATGCGTTCTAATTTTTGACTTGTTGATCGTTTTTGGCGCTCTGTATTTAAATCATAATGAAAAAAATATTTTTTCCATTATGATAGTACCAAGTATGACGAACACCTCATCACACTCAGATTAAATCCGATATGGCAAGAAGGGTAACAGCCCAAAATCTCTGGAAAAGCTTTTCCTTCTGAACGCCATTTTTTTGTAAATTAAAGTGCTTTTTAGTTTGCTAGACTTCTATTGAAAGATATTTAAAAACTATAATTACAAAAAGAGGTTTAATGCCCTACTAATTAATCAGATGAAAAAGAGAGAAATCAGGAGTACTCAGTGGAGCCGATATTCTGAAAAAAGCTGTTCCTCAGGCATCGTGATGCTGGCTGGGAAGTATGGCATCTTAGATAAAAATTGGCTGGGAATTAGTCAAGAATAATAGCTTGCTGGCGATTTTTTCTACCTAAATTATTTTTAACTGGGAGATGACACACAACGCCCACTTCCTGGCTCATACACTCTTTTTGTGATCGCTTTGCTGGGAAAAACTTCAAGCAGTTAACGCCCAGTATAACACCGATCATATGACGTGCGGATGAAAAAATGAATTACGTAGCTGATTAAATCTTGTTAAATTTAGTTAAGTCACGTTTCTTCTTTTTCTACTTGCTGGCTGGCAAAGTATATTCATCCTACATTGCTGGCAGAAAGCAATGACAAATAAAATATTCCTGGCTGGGATTATGGTCCTCAATGAATTTGCTTGCTGGCAAAAGGGATCCTTTGAACTTTGCCTTGCTGGCTCTGAGGAGCGGCTATTTTTTTCCCACGAAAGATAATTATTAACCATAAACCGCTTCAAAAGTGCCAGTTTGTTGTTCGGAAACGAAATAAACCTTATTTGAAAACTTGGTCGTTGAGCACTCCTGAGAAATCTGAGGCTAGTTTAGGCGCGAGCAGCTGATAACTCATGTTTGAAATTACATATTGGTTTGTCTCACTTGGGCTTAAAGGTAAACAATTTTTAGTTGAGCCAAATATTGTTATTTCGAACCGTTTTTTTTCGTAGACTGTATCAGATAAGGCTGTCACAGAAAGCGGCTGCTGATAAGGCAAGCTGCCAAAAACATATAACCTGAATAAAAAAGAGAGAATCATTATCAATTCTCTTTGATGAAAAATGTACAAGACAGCCGTGCATGTTAATTATTTGGTGTTTGTGAAACAAAACTGGAAAAAGAACAAGAATTGACTTGCTAAAGAGGATTTGTAGATAGGCTTATGACAGGAGTGTAATAAGCCAAAACAAGACATATAGTGTAATCGGAGATTTCTGATCCAATTGCATGCATATCTAGCTGCGTAGTACAATTGAGCAACTGACCAAACACCAGACAAAAGGAATACAACCGAACTGAGATCCTAAGCATCGCAAGGAAAATATGGCAGCTCTACTCAACAGTACTGATTTTTGGTACTTAGGCATCGACGATGTGGTAAACGCTTATATAAAACACAATAGAAAAGACTTCATCACTTATGCATGGCTCCAAGGAGTCGTCTTGTGCTTGATCAGCCCTTTTATAATCTTCGGCAACGTCTTTGTTATTTACGCCGTGTGGAAAGACCCATTTAAAAACTTGCATAGCTGGCCTTCAAACTTGATTCTTCAATGCATGGCAGTCGCTGATTTACTCGCTGGAGTCGTTCTTGCCCCCATGCAAGTGTATTGGTTATTTTCGCAAGCGGTAACGCAAACTTCAGCGATATTTGTTGGAACGTCACTGGCACACATTTTTCTGCTTTCCATTGATAGACTATTCGCAGTGATGAGACCTTTGAGCTACAAATTCGTCATGAGTCGTGGAAGAATATCACTGGCGATCTCTGTGCTGTGGTTGTACTTCATTTGTTTCGGAATCCTAATGTCCTGCCTTCAAAACAGTATTTTCATTGTAACGATCATTTTCAACGTGCAAATGTTCGTTATCTTGCAGATAACCTTTTGTTTTTACGGCCTAATTGTTTATCGTCTTCGCCGCAACTACAGGGAATGGCGTGAGCGAATCACGCACGGTTCAGTTCGCGTCACCCACCAAGAACAATTTGCTGACGCCGAAAGACGCTTGGGGAAATCTATGGCGTTTGTGATTAGCTTCTCTTTCTTTTTTATCACACCATTTATGGTCGTGTTTTTCTTATTATACTTCTGTATCGAGTGTTATTCTTATTCTCGGATGTTTCTTGTGGCTACAGGGGTGGAAATCACTCTCCTTTATTTGTATTCTGTGGGAAAACCTTTGGTCTATTGCTGGCGTTTCCCAAAGTTTAAGGAAATTGCTAAACATTATTTTAAAAATTATTGTCGCTGCCGCATTGCAGCAGAAAAGACATATGGGACAACCGAAACTATCGATACAGTTATCTCCGCAATTTAAAGTTTTGTACGTGCATGATTTGAAATGTAATGGTATCCCTCAGAGCTCTGGGTATCCCTAATAGTGTTTAGATAGACCTTGCAGGAGCTCTAATCTCGTGCCCTTTTTAAACCACTTTATAGGGTTACGTTAGATAAGTAATCAGTAAGAAAACACTACAGTTAAGCTCAGTCATATTGCCCTAAAAGAAAAAAATTTTGAATGACTGTGATGATAGAACTCAGTTCTGAGTTGGGCTAGACAGATAGAAAACGTATACTGCGTTTTTATTTCATAACTCGTCCAAAAGACTTTTGCACAATTTGACCCTTATACACTTATCAAAAGGCCAAAACCCGGAGGCTCCGCCCGAGAAGAGTGCCTATTTCAGGTTTCAGGTTAGTATGAAAGGGTAGTGATTTCACTAGTTGAAGTGCATGCAGTAAAACCCGTATTAGGCGGAGACACCCTTGAGGAATACTCTAGTGTCTGACTTATGCAGGTTTTGATAGAGAACGTCATATGAGTGGTCAAACCATTCAAATGAACGGTGGAAAGGTTTGGAATACTCCCAGAGAGTATAACGATATACATTTGCATTAATTAAACGTAGATTGTACCTCAAATTTTAAGACATCAAATTAATGAGAAAAAAAGCAGCTACTGGCAAACAAAACGAAATGAGTAGAACTGATCAACGGGTGAAGGCTGTGAGTACGCAGGTTACTGATTTTCTTCTTTAAAACTTAAAAAAAGATCAACTGTACAACGAAGGATTTATTGCATACTAGCTGTTAAGGCTTTAATTCGAGTGCGCGTATCTATTTTTTTCTCCTTGAGCGTCAACGCCAGACTGGAGGGGGATGGAGAGACGGCTGACATCAGCTGTGACATTTCAGTCTACCTCTGGTGTAAGTGAAAGACATGTTTGCCCATTACCTCTCTCTCCTCCGCAGAGGCTCTTGCTGGGTATCCCAATACATAAATAGCCTGAGTATACCCATCCCCCCCCCTCCCCCATCTAAAATCTCCTCTCCCTTAGCCCGTTAGGAAGGTCTGATACTCAGGCTAATACGTAAATAAAAAACATAGTAATCCCCAGGCTGCGCCCGCGTGATTTCATTTTTCCCTCTCCCCAGCCCCCTGACGACCCGAACAGGCCCCGACTGCAGAGGAGAGTGGCATTACCGTTAATACAGGCCTTTTAACAGACAACAAATACAGTCAACAACGTTCAGCGGAATCTTTATATTTCCTGGTAGTTCTTTGAGCTTGTTAAAAAAGAGGTATAATAGTAAGGCAAACTAATTAATTATAAGAAGCTGAAATAGAATGTATTAAAACACACGCAGTCATTCTCACAATGTAAGCAATTTTGTCATTCTTTCACTTGAAGGTAGCTGAAACTGTACGAGAATGAAGGGGACATGGTGGACGATGGTTTCCAACCATTTTATTGCCAAAACGGTCATCAACTCCCCTAAAAGCTTCCATCTAAAAGAAAAACAAAATAAAACATTTTATGAATACTGCGGCTTAAAGGGAGGCAGAGTGGCCGAGTGGTTAGAGTGCTGAAATTGTAATCCGTAGACCTCGGGTTCAATCCCCTTCCTAACCGACAGTTGGGTTTAATTGTCCTTGGTAGCCCCGAGTTCAACTCCTCTGTTTTGCTTATAATTAAATAGCCACCTGGTTTGCCTCTGGCCAGTTGAAATTCTTAACCCAGTGGGCGCGCGCCACAATGAAAACCTGGTTTACCAGTAATTGTGTTACCCTTATATAAAGTCAGGATTTTGTTTTAATACGATAGAATGCTTGAATACGACGTTGCATATTGTCGAATTCGATTCTCATTGCATTTGTTGGATCTAGGGAGTTTGTCTTGACATAGACATAGGAGTCTTTTAACAGTAGTGTCATTATTTTTTTAAACAAGAATGATCAGATTATATAGAGGTCAAGGGATTGGAAAAACAAGATCCAAGGTTTAGGTGTTATGGCTTAAGTACGAGCAAATGAAAGAAAACGCCCGTCTCAGCCTAACCTTGTACAGTTATAAAGAGGATTTAAAGGGGTTTTAGGAAATTAATTACCGTCGGTGAGGTTGTACATTATCTTAAAAATGTATCAACTTTAGGTGTTGTATTTTTTTCATTATTACCTGAAGGTAAGATTGCTTTCAAGTCTAATTAGGCAGGAACAGGCTCCGAGCTTTTCTGTACGCGAAACAAAATTGGAAAAAATACAAAATGATTTTGGAAACCTACATTTATCCAGTTGCTGATATGGCATAGGCTAATGAAAGCTAAAATTGAAGATAAAGAAAAAAAATCAATTATTAGCGTTGATGAAAAACAATCTTACAGGATTTTTCAATTTTGGAAGCAAATCCGTTATTGGCTTTAGGCTTGCATTTTCTGCTCCAACCTGCAAATAACACACAATAGGGACGTTTTGTTGACAACAAAAACAATAATGATGATAATTAATGACAGTGACAATGATAATAATAATGATGATGATAATAATAATAATTTCCTATTAACACGTCAACATACATAGCCTATGACCCTGTGTAAACTAATTGTGGACACTAGTGAACTACCTACTTTTTACTACCCTGCCAAACTAGTTTCTATGCCCACATAATTCAACCCTTCCCCTCTCCACCATATTAAGTCAGTATTATATATGAGATGGAAAAAGTATACACAAAATAAATGTGCCTTATAAGATAAAGAAAACTTATCATAAGCGATGCACAGGTGACAGTTCTTTCATAATGGGCTTCTAACAAGGTCCTAACCTTCTACTGACTACACCAGTTCACTTCGACTTATCTTCTGTTCATCCTTAATATTATACTTGTAATAACCAAAGGTTACGGAGTCTGGGCGACAACGATCGAAGATCAAAACACTGTAGCTCCAACGATGTGCTTTGCGTAAGTTTCACGTGACAAATGGTCAACACAAGCGTGATCACATTACGAGTGATAGGTCCAAACGCGCGTGATCAAATTGTGTTCTGTGCATTTTATTCATTCTTAACGGTCCAAACGAAAGCTGGCTACGTACGTGCGACACATGCGTAATAACAACTTGACTAGGATGGCGGGCTCCTCTCGCGTCCGCAATTAAGCGACTGGCTCCTTTTTTGGAGCGTGTCTCTAAGATTCCGCCTCCTGAAGGACACTGTCTTAGAAGTAGTGGAATAAATTCGCCACTTTAGAAACGAGAAGGGAACTGGGGTCAAAATGTTTCCCGCAGTTGTTTCTAGGTTCGTTACCAGGGACGCACCGGTCATGATCAGCTATTGGCCAATTTTTTCCCTGCCCAAGTCACAATTCCAGAAGTTTCTTCTCTTTTGCTCCTTTCCCCCAGAAACCCCGTCTCATACTCAAGCTATGGTTAATCAGCAGTTTTAACAATCGACTACCATTGGATCGTCATGGGAACCATGTTACCTTTAAGAAGAATCCTAAAACACATAAGCCATCAGCATCGCCAGATTGTACAGCTTCCCCTATACCAGCATATTTAGCCTTCCAGTGAACCAAATGTAACTACACAACAAAATGAAAGAAAGCTTTTTAGTGCGCATGCTCCTCACAATAGTTCACTCTAACAAAAGACAAACTTGACAAACTGGATATTTTTCAAGGAGGCAGAAGACAGCAGAAGTAAGAATTCCTTACGTTTGCCCTACTGAAGGACAAAATAATGTAAGGAAATTTTCACTTCATTTTCAAGGGCCCAAAATATTTAATTCTCTTAGCTCTGAAAGTCAGAATGCCTCTTGTATTGCTGTGTTCACTTTCAAACTAAAGTCATTTCTCTTGGTATAAGCATGTTTTACTTCTCTTGATGCTTACGTGTACTTTTTCGCTTCTTTCGCTGCGTTTTTTCTCGTATTTTTGCATTATTTTTTCTCACTTTTCCTTTTTCTTTTTTGCGCATGCACGTTCAGCCTTATGATTATTTCCTATGTGTTTAGTCAAATTGTCTTGCTTATGTCGGTATTTTATTTAAGTGATGAAGTCATATATATTTGAAGGTGGTCCTTTTCATAAGCCTTATTCGCTTCCATGAGCTCCCTTGCCACATTTTTCTAAATTTTGTGTGTATATTTAATGTAAATGGCAATATGATAATAAAACAATCAAACAAATAAAACAGCAAACAACAACGGGTTTGTTACGTCTGTAAGCTTGCGGTTAAAAGTCCGTTCGGGGGAGTGTAGTGACAAAAGGGACCTTGCATAATTACGATTGACCACTCCAGAAAATACCATAACACACCATAATGCTCTTTGTTTGTCACCCCAAAATTTTGCATAAGCATTGTTTTCAGTTTCTCTTTGGAGCCATTTTAACAACCAAGAGAAACTGAAGACAATGCTTATGCAAAATTTTGGGGTGACAAACAAAGAGCATTATGGTGTGTTATGGTATTTTCTGGAGTGGTCAATTGAGCAACTGACCAAACACTATACAAAAGGAATACAACCGAACTGAGATCCTAAGAATCACAAAGAAGATATGGCAGCTCTACTCAACAGTACTGATTTTTGGTACTTAGGCATCGACGATGTGGTAAACGCTTATATAAAACACAACAGAGAAGACTTCATCACTTATGCATGGCTCCAAGGAGTCGTCTTGTGCTTGATCAGCCCTTTTATAATCTTCGGTAACGCCTTTGTTATTTACGCCGTATGGAAAGACCCTTTTAAAAACTTGCATAGCTGGCCTTCAAACTTGATTCTTCAATGCATGGCAGTCGCTGATTTACTCGCTGGAGTCGTTCTTGCCCCCATGCAAGTGTATTGGTTATTTTCGCAAGCGGTAACGCAAACTTCAGCGATATTTGTTGGAACGTCACTGGCACACATTTTTCTGCTTTCCATTGATAGACTATTCGCAGTGATGAGACCTTTGAGCTACAAATTCGTCATGAGTCGTGGAAGAATATCACTGGCGATCTCTGTGCTTTGGTTGTACTTCATTTGTTTCGGAATCCTAATGTCCTGCCTTCAAAACAGTATTTTCATTGTAACGATCATTTTCATCGTGCAAATGTTCGTTATCTTGCAGATAACCTTTTGTTTTTACGGCCTAATTGTTTATCGTCTTCGCCGCAACTACAGGGAATGGCAAGAGCGAATCTCGCGCGGTTCAGTTCGCGTCACCCACCAAGAACAATTTGCTGACGCCGAAAGACGCTTGGGGAAATCTATGGCGTTTGTGATTAGCTTCTCTTTGTTCTTTATCACACCATTTATGGTCGTGTTTTTCTTGTTATACTTTTGTATCGAGTGTTACTCTTATTCTCGAATGTTTCTTGTGTCTACAGGGGTGGAAATAACTCTCCTTTATTTGTATTCTGTGGGAAAACCTTTGGTCTATTGCTGGCGTTTTCCAAAGTTTAAAGAAATTGCTAAACATTATTTCAAAAATTATTGTCGCTGCTGAAAAGACATAGAGGAGAACCGAAACCATCGATACAGTTATCTCCGCAATTTAAAGTTTTGTACGTGCATGATTTGAAATGCAATGGTATCCCTAATAGTGTTTAGATATACCGTGCAGGATTGCTCTAATCTCGTGCCCTTTTTAAACCACTTTCTTAAGGGTTACGTCAGATAAGTAATCAGTAAGAAGAAAATACTAAAGTTAAGCTCCCTCATACTGCCCTGAAAAAAAATAAATTTTGAATGACTGTGGTGATAGAACTCAACTGGGCTAGATAGATAGAAGCCGTATACAGCGTTTTTACTTCATCACTCGTCCAAAACATTTTTCACTATTTGACCCTTGTACACTTATCAAAAGGCCAAAACCCGGGGGTTGGGGGTACTAACTATAATGGCCCTAGACGGGAGAGGCTCCACCCGAAAAGATTACTTATTTCAGGTTTCAGGTTAGTATGAAAGGGTAGGGATTTCAATAGTTGAAGTGTATGCAGTGAAACCTGTATTAGGCGGAGACACCCTTGGGAAATACTATAGTGTCCGCCTTATACAGGTTTTGATAGAGAACGCCATATGAGGAGTCAAACCATTCAAACGAACGGTCGAAAGGTTTGGAATACTCCCAGAGAGTGTAACGATATGCACTTGCATTAATTAAACGTAGATTTTACCTCTGGTGTAAATGAATATTTGCCCATTACCTCTCTCTACCTCCGCAAAGGCTCTTGCTGGGTATCCCAATACATAAATAACCTGAGTATACCCACCCCTCCTCCCCCATCTAAAATCTCCTCTCCCTTAGCCCCATAGGGAGGCCTGAGATAAATAAAAAGATAGTCATCCCCCGCCCGCGTGCTTTCATTTTTCCCTCTCCCCAGCGCCCCCGACGACCCGAACAGGCCGCGACTGGGGACGAGAGTTGCATTACCGTTAATACAGGCCTTTTAAACAGACAACAAATAAAGTCAACAACGTTCAGCGGAATGTTTTTTTTGAATCTTTATTTTTCCGGGTAGTTATTTGAGTTTGTTAAAAAAGAGGTATAATAGTAAGGCAAACTAATTAAGAAGCTGAAATAGAATGTATTAAATAAAACACACGCAGTCATTCTCGCAATGTAAGCAGTTTTGTCATTCTTTCACTTGAAGGTAGCTGAAACTGTACGAGAATGAAGGGGACATGGTGGACGATAGTTTCCAACCATTTTATTGCCAAAACGGTCATCAACTCCCCTAAAAGCTTCCATCTAAAGAAAAACAAAATAAAACATTTCATGAAATACCCGTTTAAATTTGATGATGCTAAAGCAAGTCTTTTCCTCCGAGGCTACCTAAATAGTTGGCTGCTGCGTTCATTGTGAAGGCGATGGCGTCAATGGGCGTCGATCAGATACTCTATCAAGATGCTGCCTTAAGCCCTTTGCTCGGCCCGTTAGCTATGTAAGGGTACCTGTCTTACGCATGCAATAGACATTCGATGATTTCAGGTAAATGTTAACGTAAATATACCTGGGCAGCAGAGACTTCCAAAGGATTCTTGAATACAACCCATTTGACGCATTGAGCCAGAGGAGGAGTAGTCAGTGAGCCCTCATAAGTGTAATAGTCCGTCAAAGCTGAAAAGGGATGAAAGTAAACATGAGGGCACCAAGAACCATAATAAAATAAAGTAAACTACAAAACTATTTACATTTCTATGATAAAATAACGAATTAAATAATAATAATAATAATAATAATAATAATAAATATAATAATAATAACAATAATAGCAATTTTAATAAAAAATAAAATATTAATTTTGAAGACTACTTACATTTCAATAATAAAACACTACCTAAGATTTTTGAACATTCTCTTTTTAAAAACGGTAAGACTTTCCGTGTCTCTTATATCTTAAAGGTATTATACATTTTTGCCCCACGGTAGGCAAAAGTCTTTTGGCGAGTCGCCAGCCTGTACCTTAAGGCAACGTAAGGTCGTTATTCTGCCTGGTGTCTCTTTGGTGAGGTTTTGCACGATATTGAAAACGTCCGTGAAGGTAAACAGGTGTTAGGTTCTTCTGGCATTTGCATAAATGTGCATTTTTAAAGTGGACATAGTACTTAGTCTAAAATATTGCGGTTTAAAGGGAGGCAGAGTGACCGAGTGGTTAGAGTGCTGAAATTGTAATCCGTAGACCTCGGGTTTAATCCGCTGGATTTAATTGTCCTTAGTAGCTTCGAGTTCAACTCCTCTGTTGTGCTTATATTTAAAAAGCCAACTGGTTTACCTCTGGCCAGTTGAAATTCTTAACCCAGTGGGCGCGCGCCACAATGAAAACCTGGTTTACCAGCAATTGTGTTACCCTTATATAAAGTCAGGATTTTGTTTTGATTCGATAGAATGCCTGAATACTGCGTTGCATATTTTGGAGTTCGTTTCTCATTGCATTTGTTGGATCTAGGGACTTTGTCTCGACATAGACATTCAATATTTTTTTAAACAAGAATGATCAGATTAGGAATAGCGGTCAAGGGATTGGACAAACAAGATCCAAGGTTTAGGTGCTATGGCTTAAGTACGAGCAAATGAAAGAAAACGCCCGTCTCAGCCTAACCTTGTACAGTTACAAAGAGGATTTAAAGGGTTTTAGGAAATAACCGTCGGTGAGGTTGTACATTATCTTAAAAATGTATTAACCTAAGGTGTTGTATTTTTTTTCATTATTACCTGAAGGTAAGATTGCTTTCAAGTCGAATGAGGCAGGAACAGGCTCCGAGCTTTTCTGTACGCGAAACAAAATTGGAAAAAATTAAAAATGATTTTGGAAACCTACATTTATCCAGTTACTGATATGGCATAGGCTAATAATGAAAGTTAAAATTGAATATAAAGAAAAAAAATCAATTATCAGCGTTGATGAAAAACAATCTTACAGGTTCTTTCAGTTTTGGAAGCAAATCCGTTATTGGCTTTAGGCTTGCATTTTCTGCTCCAACCTGCAAATAACACACAATAGGGACGTTTTGTTGACAACAAAAACAAAAATGATGATAATTAATGACAGTGACAATGATAATAATAATGATGATGATAATAATAATAATTTCCTATTAACACGTCAACACACATAGCCTATGACCCTGTGTAAACTAATTGTGGACACTTGTGAACTACCTACGTTTTACAACCCGGCCAAACTAGTTTCGATGCCCACGTAATTCAACCCTTCCCCGCTCCACCATATTAAGTCAGTATTATGAGAAGGTGACAGTTCTTTCATAATGGGCTTCTAACACGGCCCAACTTCAACTCAATACACCAGTTCACTTTGACTTATCCTCTGTTCATCCTTAATATTATACTTGTAATAACCAAAGGTTACGGAGTCTGGGCGACAACGATAGAAGGTCAAAACGCTGTAGCTCCAACGATGTGCTTTGCGTAAGTTTCACGTGACAAATGGTCAACACACGCGTGATCACATTACGAGTGATAGGTCCAAACGCGCGTGATCAAATTGTGTTCTGTGCATTTTATTCAACTTTATGGTCCAAGCGAATGCTGGCTACGTACGTGCGACGCATGCGTAATAGCAACTTCGAGATTAGGATTGCGGGCTCCTCTCGCGTCCGCAATTAAGTGACTGGTTCGTTTTTTGCAGCGTGTCTGTAAGATTCCGCCTCCTGAAGGGCAGTGGAATAAATTCGCCACTTTAGAAACGAGAAGGGAACTGGGGCCAAAATGTTTCCCGCAATTGTTTCTGGGATCGTTACCGGGGACACGCCGGTCAGCTATTGGCCAATTTTTTTCTTGTCCCAAATAACAGTCCCAGAAGTCTTTGCAAAAGTTAACCCAGTTCATTCGTCAATTTAGAAACGAGAAGGGAACTGGACCCTAAATGCCTCCCGCAATTGTTTCTGGGATGGTTACCGGGGACGCGGCGGTCATGATCAGCTATTGGCCAATTTTTTTCCTGCCCAAGTCACAATTCCAGAAGTTTCTTTTCTTTTGCTCCTTTCCCCCAGAAACCCCTGTCTCATACTCAAGCTATGGTTAATCAGCAGGTTAAAAAAATCGACTACCATTGGATCGTCATGGGAACCATGTTACCTTTAAGAAGAATCCTAAAACGCATAAGCCATCAGCATCGCCAGATTGTACAGCTTCCCCTATACCAGCATATTTAGCCTTGAAGTGAACCAAATGTAACTGCACAACAAAGTTAAAGAAAGCTTTTTAGTTCGCATGCTCCTCACAATAGTCTACTCTAACAAAAAACAAACTTGACAAACTTGACATTTTTCAAGGAGGCAGAAGACAACAGAAGTAAGAATTCCTTCCGTTTGCCCTACTGAAGGACAAAATAATGTAAGGAAATTTTCACTTCATTTTCAAGGGCCCAAAATATTTAATTCCCTTAGCTCTGACAGTCAGAATGCCTCTTGTATTGCTGTGTTCACTTCCAAACTAAAGTCATTTTTCTAGGTATAAGCATATTTTACTTCTCTTGATGCTTACGTGTACTTTTTCGCTTCTTTCGCTGCGTTTTTTCTCGTATTTTTGCATTATTTTTTCTCACTTTTTCTTTTTCTTTTTTACACACGTACGTTCAGCCTTATGATTATTTTCTATGTTGCAAAGGAATTGTATGTGTTTAGTTAAAGTGTCTTGCCTATGTCGGTATTTTATTTAAGTGATGAAGTTACATATATTTGAAGGTGGTCCTTTTCATAAGCCTTATTGGCTTCCATGAGCTCCCTTGCCTCATTTTTCTAAATGTTGTGTGTATATTTAATGTAAATGGCAATATGATAATAAAACAATCAAACAAATAAAACAGCAAACAACAACGCGTTTGTTACGTCTGTAAGCTTGCGGTTAAAAGTCCGTTCGGGGGAGTGTAGTAACGATCTCACGACAGCCCAGGCGACGATAATGACTAAAGGTCGCAGGATAAATAGACTTCGAGTCTTTTCAAACTGTTACGCAATTATTCCAAGTCTCCCAGTTACTTTAAAGAAAGGGAATGTGGTTGGTGCTGAAGGGAGAGGACCGCGTCCGAATTCAGACGGAGATAGTAAAATTTATCGCCTTACCGTTCCCATTCTCAAGTAAATTAGTAGCTATTTCACGTCGCACAGTAGTTGTGCAGGGACAGCAAAGAAATTTACAAAAAAAGAGTGATGAACGAGCAGAGTTGTCGCCAGTTGTGTTTTAGGCGTTCCCGTTGCCGTCGCTTGGGTAGTTTCGTGAGGTCTCTAGTATAGCCCACGTAACGAAGGCTGGCGTATTCGCAGGCTAACACAACTTTACTCGTTTGATGGTTGTTAGAACAGGTTTAAATAGATAGACTAGTATGTTGCAGAAGTTTGGTGAAAATAAACGCTAGCTACGCCTAGGACGATAAAAATTTTTTATTTTGATTCAGCTCATAGATTTCATTTGAGCGACGCAGGTCAACCGGAAATGGACTTCTTGCATGGGCAATGCTTTTGCAAAAGGCCCCACTTCCGGTTGACGTGCGTCACGCAAAAACTTCTTTGCTTAAGCTCCCTATTACTTGTACTAGTCCTTGGGTAAAACCGTGACACGCCTTAAAGAACTGGATATAAGATACTGGACAGTATGTAACTACAGGATATTCTGGACGTTTGAGAAAGACTTCAAGCAGTTCTTTCTCTTAATCACCTCGGCTGGGTACATCTTTCCATTCACTCTGTGCTCGGAACCTTCATCGTCCTTTGCGCCCCAGTGAAAATGAAATTGCCCAAATTTGTATTTTTCAGTTAAGGGTCCTCCTGACAGTTCTAGAATAAAGAAATACAAAAAAGTTTAGGTTGCATAGGTTCAATTTAACGGTTCATTTAACGCAGTAAAAGAGAGCTTTAGATCTGAAAACGAGTACGACTACGGCTACGAGATTTTCTCAATTGTGCACACGCGTGAGCCAGCGTCATTTTGGCAGGAAAACGTGATAGCCGTCGTCATTCTGCAAGCGGTTTAGCCAGAATGTCATGGCGGGCAGGAGTTATCAGATGTAAGAAGTTCGGTCAAGATGGCTGGATCTGTTAGCCTTGTTCTTTGTTGCGTTTTAATTAACCTCAAATCCAATAATAATAATAATAATAATAATAATAATAATAATAATAATAATAATAACAATGGAAACTTTATTTGTGTTTTTGGATGCACAATTGTAAATCTCTCTACTTATAGGCAATTTACAAATTCTGCTTGAGATTGGATTATTAAAAAAAACAAGAAAGAAAGAAAAAAGAAAAGAAAAGAAATCATAATTGCATTAAGTCTGGGTTACCCAATTCCTATATGTAATATGTTGCTCTAATGGCTATAATTATGATTTTCTTGATTATATAAAGTTGCTGATTTTTGTCAATGCCAATCTCATTCATCATGTCTAAGAACGGAATAATAATAATAATAATAATAATAATAATAATAATAATAGTAATAATAATAATAATAGAAACACAATTAAAAATTTCCAGCCATCTTGAACGAACAAGCTTAGTCAATATAATAAAGCATATTTACAGAAAACAGACTTAAAGTGGCCAAAAATCTGGAGAGGCTATTGACAGTCACTTGCAAACAGATTTCTGCAATTGCTGTTCTCTATTAATTTGAAATGTTAGTAGACCGATAAGTTCGTTTTTCAATATGCTTTAAGTTGTCTTTTACTTTCATTTCATTTAGCTTTGACAGAAAAGCTTTTGTCATTTCTAATTGCGGGATCCCTGCTAACGTGTCTTTTCGTGAGTGAAAGACGACTCTGGCGCGGGGGTCTGCCTCCCTTTAAGAACACTCACCACTGTTGCTGTTTTTTGTTTTTTTAAATTTCCTCTCAGTTTGATAGTGAGAAGAGGGGTGAAGAAGACAAGACTATCATCGGCTTAACATTATCCTCCAATGACGCGGTCATCTGAACATAATGGCGCATTTTTAAAAGCAGTATTTGTTCTATACTTAATTAGCTATTCTATTGTCAAGTCACGTGGCCTGTTTTACTTAATTGACGATTTGGGTTTCCACATTGACATGATTAATTCTGGGCAGGAGTCGTGTCGCTGCAAAGATTTAGACAAGTTTCTAACGAAACACACATGTTTCTTAAAACTGCTATAAAGAAGGAAGCTAGTTATATACAAAAACGTTTTTGTAGCATTTATCTCTGAAAAGATTTACTTCAAATTTCGTCCTTTCCTGGCTCATTTTGAGTTGACAGCGACTTCCTTTTCTTCTAACCCCTCAATTGATTAAACGAGTAGCCGCCATCTTGATTCGAAGGTTTTTTTACCGTTGTTCAAGCGGATTGTTTGCACGCACTGGGCGTGGACAAATTCTGTACGTAAAATGGCTTACTCTACCTGCCGGCAGTGCTCGTAAAAATCGCTTATTCTGCTAAAAATTCTGCTCGGTATCCGGAAAAAAAAATTTCGGCCCATAGAAGGGAGCCTAGGCCCAAGACTCGGCTACAAACTAATTAGATATGCATTGTGCGTAGCAAAATTGTAATTCATCTTACTTTTAATGTGAGTGCGTTGTAGCTATTAAATAATCAAATTAGTCACAAGGTATTTCCCATTTGTAATTTATTCAGTTTTAAATTTTTCTTACAACCGTTGTGCATATCATTAGTGCTGCTGATTTCCATAATTCTGCTCAAATTCTTTTCGAAAATGCCTTATTCCGCCGGCAGAATGCTCGCCTCAACTCCTCGAAATTCTGTCGGCAGAATTTATCCAAGCCTAGCACGCACCTTGGAGAAACGGATAAAAAACGCTTTTAGACACGCTTCTCACGTGACTGAGCCAAGCCTTAATTCACATGAGTACGTTTTGATTTTTGAGCTATGGCCCGGAATAGTTACGTAACAGTGACTTTTGAGAAACGGACATTCCTTAAAAGAACATGAACAAAAACACGAACCCTGATCTCCAGACACATAAACCAATGAACCCCAAATGCAAAGTGTAACTCTTAGACAAGGAGTCTTTATCATCAGTTACATAATCTGGAGAGTCCTTGGTATCATTGAATTTTATAATTACGAAAATGAATAATTTCAAGTTCTGAGGGTAAAATTGTAAAGGTCTAAGGTCATTATCATGCAGAGAAATTGATTGCACTGATGGCTATTTTGTCGGTAACTGAGAGATAATTAAAGTATTTACAAAAGCTTCAGTTGATAGCACGCTTTCTCCCCTGCCGTCGCGAGTTTTCTTGAACATGTACGCGCACACGTACACTTCAGTATAGGTCGTGAGGTCACAAATAAGATTAAAAACCAAACCGATTAATTTACTCAGCGGGGCGTGTGAGAGGCTTATCTTACTCAGATCTCCACACGTTTTCCCTCTCAAATGTACCACAACAAACCAGTATGGACCATATTCCTTTTTAAATGCGCTTAAGTTACCTGACAAAAGTAAATAAATTAAATAAATAACAATAAAAACAAACAAATAAACTAAAGAGCAGAACTGAAGCCTTATGCAGGCTAAGACAACGCCTTCAATTATTGTTTTCTTTTCTTAACGTTTTTACCTAATTTTGCTCAAGCTACATACTATCAACTAAGCCTTTCTAAATGATGCAGTAATATTACGTAAAAATCACATTACGGGGTGGAAAGCATCGTTTCGTCTTGTGAGAGTGAAATTAAGGGGCGCCTACTTTGTAGTTTCTGTGTTTGGGTTTGTAATAAGTGATTTACAAGTGAACAAAGTCGCGTTTATTTTGCCTAACAATAACCCCGACAATATTGTTTAATATATTAAAACCACCGAGTACAAGGTCATGCCACTGGGCCCAATGCCCGGGGGGAGGGGTACTGCCATATATGGGCTATATGGGTATGTGCCGCTGTGAAGGGTATGGTTTTCAAACAGTTTACTCTAGGATAGGGTATATAAATTAGAGCGTTTGGGTCTAAAATAGGGTATCATTTTTCAGGAAACTGATCAGTTGGTTGAAGATTTTATCTAGACTGGGGAAACCGCTACTCTAGGAATCCCCCTAAAACCCTCAAATGAGATCATATCCCATCGTTTTAAGTCGACTTGATTGAGACCATATCCAGTTCCCAAGGTCCCAGGGTCGCCGTGTAGGGGTGGGTCTTTAAGGATTTCTGCCCCCCCGGGGCCCAATGCCACCTCAGAATCCGTCAACTGTAAACGATTATTCCTCTTTTCTTCTTCTTTTCTTTATTTTTAACAAAAAGATTTTATCCATTAAGAAACCAGAAAGGAATATTTTCAGTGCCATAAATTGTATTGTTAAGCTAGACCAGGTGCTTATATTTAATTACCATTCGTTTGTTAATTTATGTAAGAAAAAGAGTCGTAGCTCGCTTCATGTTTTTTCTGTCCTTCAAGCGAATCAATACATGTTGCGCTTTTCTTCTTTTCAATGATTTATTTCCGGAAACTTTTGATTGCAGGAACATTTTAATCTATTTAAAACCGCAGAACTAGGGTTACTATACTACCCTTTTTAGTCAGCCGAATCACTGAATGCCCTGCGGCAAGGGTTTTGTTTCACACAAAGGCAATATTACCAGCGTCTCTTAGAGCGGTTGGATAATGTTCTGGACGCTGTTAAGCTTGGCTGCGTTTTTCGACGGCTAATCGGCCAATTATCGCTACAAAGCTACCCCAGCGACAAGTTTTTAATCCGGGTTCCTGTTCCTTTAATTCAAAGTCAAAACCTCAAATTGTAAGCAAAGGGAATTGCCTTGTGAGCATTAAGTTTTGAAATCAAACAGTCTGCTCTTAACCCTTCTTTGAACAACTTTGCCCTTGTCTCTAGTCTAGTGAAGCGTTTACCGACGCGCTTTTGTATCACCAGTCACGTAGGAATTTTTATTTTCATGTAAGGACCCAAAAACTGAGTTTTTAAAAACATTCGGAGTCGAATATTGTATTTAAGTAAAAATGAATGTTGACTTTCACGTCACGAAAATTTTAATATTTTCCCAGATAAATATAATAAGAGGCAGCACTTCAGCAAATACAAGTTACGATAATTCTTTTTTGCTCGAGAATTAGTCAAACGTATTGTTTACACGGGCGAGTAACCTTTTATCTTTCTTTTTCTTTTACTGGTATAATTTATCTACCTCAGTACGCCCCGCTGTTGATTGACAGCGTAGGTTTGATCAATATTTTGATAGTTAATTATAACGTGGTGCTACGATCCACAGAGGAGCGATATAGAAGATTTGCTGACAGACTCTTGCTGTCCCTTTTTATTCTAAAAAAAGCTCTCATCACTGAAATCTTTGGCAGCAGTTCAGCTCTGGACATAAAATTAACATCAAGAAATTTAAATTAGACACGTTTTTGTTACGTAACATCTTAATTTTGCCAACTTTTTGTTACTCCACTACCTCCCTGTACTTCATCTAGCGTGACTGGCTTACATCAGTGGAAAGTGCAATCAGTTCTGTGGACATAAGAATGAACCGAACGATTCCGTGCCACTCGCAGTCCGCCGAGTGAATCTTTGTACTCGGCCGCCGCCCCTTGATACGCCTCCATAAACTCCCAGGCTTGCCATATAAGGGATTGACTGATTCCGAGTAAAATTTCTCAAGGTATATAAAGTTCAAAACCATCACTTTTCCTTCTTATAAACAGCGTGTTCAGTAAAATTCTGGATTGGACGAAAGCAAAGTCAGTTTAGAAGCAAAACATCATTTTTACGCACCTGTAGAATTGCCGCTGTCGTCCGCCTGATACTGCACCGAATGACCGTTGTTACAAAACTTAGGGCTGCTCAGTTTAGGATAGGAAACTGAAAATGGTGGAAATTTGCCACCCTTCACAGTGTCATCCTTCAAATCGATGGGCGACTGGCGCTCGCCAGTAGCGACGGGACAGCTTTTATGCCAGGTGTCCGGACCTAGAGAAAAATAATATTTCAAAATATTCGTCGGTTTCGATTCCAGACAGAATGCTTAAAATGTACATATTTCAAAAGGTTTTGGAACAATTATGCGTTTACTTCATTGCTTTTCCTTTCAGAACGAAAACATAAACTATCACTGACTAAACTCATTAGAAATCGATCGCTTACCGTTATCCTTTCTGTAACCCCAAGTAGTCATAATTGTGAAGCGCGCCTAGTCAGAGAAGACGATTAGTGCAGTTAGGCCACACAAAACTGACGCTTTTGTAGGCAAATTAAGCCAAGCCAATGAATATTACACAGCCTGCTGTCTGTCCAATAAGAAAGTGTTTGATTTTAAAAGCGAAGAGTCCATTTCAATACTCGTCGCCACGCGACTGCGCGTGATGTCACAACACCTTTGTGTTGGCCCGCCCGGATGCGAACAAACAGAATCCTTAAGTTTTCAGCAGGTCGGCTTTTAAAGTACAGTGGTTTTAGAATATTACACGAGACCTATGTTTTAAAATTGTACACGAGAACGCGTGATGTCATAACACTTCAATCTTTGTGTTGGCCTTTGTTTGCGATGATATTGGGGCACTTAGTGTTCAATATCAGTCAGTCTAAAAACACTGTGATACTTTTACTGTTAAGATTAGGAGACCCAAATCAGATTCCTTTCGATTCTTGCCTGAAATGTCTGTTTTTTGTTACTCTTGTTTTAGCCCCCTCTGTGTTAAGGGCTAAATATTTGCCACGTTGCGTGCTAATTTTCAAGACAGTCGCGACTGTCTCGGCAGACTCGCTGGCTTCTCGATGAGTATTATTTAGGTAGCTTGCTGAGTAAGATGATTCAACTGAAAGACGGAAATGAAACACGTCATCTTTGTAATGCCTGGTCCATATAATAAAGCGATTAGTCCTATATAACTGAATATCTACAACAATGAAATGAGTTTCATTCAGTTGTATTTTTTGTTTGTATTTTTCAGCGTACACAAAAGGTTTGGTGGTTTGCAGGTACCATGTAACCGATAGGAATAAACAAGTTTTTCAACGTGCGCTTGTTCTAATTAAACGTAACTTTGTTTCCTGTCATTTTAAGACTGCCACTGAAGTCGATGGTCCTTAAATGTTTGCTTGCCGGTTATTGCTAAGTGGCTGTTATATTAAGCAGGTGTCTGTCGAGTATATTTAAACTTAGAGTCATGGCAAGCTATTCGGAACCTTGCCTTCTGCGATGCACCACTGATCATGCAGTCACACGCTCTCGTTTTACTAATAGGAGAATGTATGGAAATTATTATTCAATCGATCCCTGAGAAAAATCTGGTGGTTGAATTTTACAGTCGTCGGTCTGAGATTGCGACAAAGGGTTTAAATTGGAAAGGGTCTTGAAGCTGAGCGAATTGTAATCTATGCGGTTTTCAGTCTCAAAAATCTTAAATAAAAGTTCACGAATCCGCTATACTGACCTTTCCAGGTCATGATCTTTTCTGCAGGACCCCGTTCAGTGCCCATTTCCATCTGAGATCGGAGTCTACGGTCCTAGCTCGGTACCCCGTTCGCAAACTGAAGACCAAGTGTAGTACTTTCAAATATCTGCATAATTACTGGCTCTTTACGAACTGAATCCTTTGCGGTTTTACCGTGCTAGCCGAGTTGCTTCGATCTGGGTATTGTGGTTTTTGCTTTCAACGACACCCAAATTCACGGAAAATTAATCATCCTTGACTGAATACCTTTTTTCAAAGACGGCTCCAGTAAAACACTCGCCAAACGCAAGCCATTTCCTTAAAACACTCGCCAAACGCAAGCGGGCATTTCCCTCACCACATCATTTCATTTAATGGCCGCCATTTTAGTATTCCCGAGGCTCTTTTCAGCTTTCTTTTGGAAGTCAAGGCCTGGGAATAACGCTCTCTCTTGTGTGTGTTACATGGTTTGTGATGAACGCGTGATCCATCGAGCTTAATTTTTGGAGCCGCTTGAAACGGCTTCTCAAGGCTGGTAAATGTCAAAATTGAGACCGGGTGAGCAAAATAGCATTGAAAGAGCTTTTTTAAGTGGATCTTTCAGGGGAAAATATCAGATCGGGGCTAATATGTATATATTTGATCCGGAAGCCAAATATTTTTGTCGAGTAGGTCAGTGTCTTTGCATGACTTGATCACGTGCTCAACTTTCGGTAAACATGAAAACAATTCAGTTTTGTTTTAAAATAGTACAAGCTGAAAGAGCATATTTAAATTAGGCAACCCGAGAACTTTCAGCCGTATATTTCGAAAGAAGCGATTGCATGTTTTTCCATACAAATCCTTGTAATTTCGAGATTTTCAAAACTGTCATGAAATATTTCCTTAAAGTGCTACTACGATCAAAATTTAATGTCAAGTTTTTCACAAAAATGCTTTCTTTTCAGCTTATCAGAAGTGGCTGTACCTGTTTCGGTCATTGAAATGAACTTTGGCGCCCTCTAAGTGAAAATATTGAGCTTGAAAATGTAGGTTTTTCGCGTCCGCCATTACAAATTTATGTTCCAGTGACAAAGCTATTGTTCTCTGATTGTGACGTCATTTTCTGAACACGGCAAGAAAGCAAACCTGAACCGTGAGAAAACAGCGAGCGATTCTCAAAGCTTCGCTCGTCTTCGCCCGATTCTGGAATTGTGAAGGAGGAAATCGTAGATTACGATGACTCTGTAGAACCAGCACCGACTGAATATGAGAAAGTCAAATACTAAGGGCAGCTAGCCTCAGAGAAGGAAAAAAAACACACTTCATCAAGTCGTAGAACACGCCAAGAAAACAAACCTGAACCGTGAGAAAACACCGAGCGATTCTCAAAGCTTCGCTCGTCTTCGCCCGATTCTGGAATTGCGATGGAGGAAATCGTAGATTACGATGACTCTGTAGAACTAGCACCGACTGAATATGAGAAAGTAAAATAATAAGGGCAGCTTACCTCAGAGAAGGGAAAAAAACACACTTTACCAAGTCGTATTTTATGCAGTTTGTGCCGACAGAGATTCGGACTACTGGTAGGTGTATTTGTATACGTACTAGCTATAATAATAATACACAGGCAAGACGATCGAGAGTCCGCACCAATTTCACCTGCCTTCTAGCCACTCTCGAGTGCTCATTTATCCAAGTGTAGATAAAGTTTTGCTTTATAGCTCTTCAGGCACAGCGAATCAGAGTGGGTACAGTTTCAGTTCAGTTCAGCTAAGTTTCAGTTCTAAAGCAGCCAGCTCGTTGTCATATGCATGTGTTTTTTTTTACCATCTTAAACGGACTGCTGTCTTTTATTATTGAAAATTTAATTGTTACTTTAGTGTTACGTATCTGAGCTGAGGATTTTAAAATTAGATCTAATGTTAAGTTCTCTTTGCTTTGTCAGAAAAGTTAATTTACTCATTTTCAATATAAATAGATAAATAAGGGGATCGCTCGCTCTTGATTTGGTATATGAATTTAATAATTTTCAGTGCTGACATTAAAGACTGTCACATTCTTTGTAGCTCATGTTTTTTTGAAAAGGCTGTGTCTGCCTATACCTTCCCTATCGATTGACTGCAGATCAATATAGCAACTTATAAATTGCAACGCTAATAAAAATTCCGAGATTTCACCTCATCCAACTATTGTCAATGATATCCCCTTGTATTTCCATAACTTTTATAGATAACTTTATGAAATTGTTGTATGTGACGTTTTTTTTTTTAATTTATTTATTATTCAAACCCAGGTGTGCATTTTTTGGATGCTCTCTTTACTGGGACCAGCTTTGAAGCTTTGGCTAGACAAGAAAATATATACAGTGGAACAGTTAACACAGACATGTTATGATGTCTATATTATATGGGTGTCCGTATTATCCGGGTGTCCATATTAAGTTAGCTCTCTGGAAAAAAGTCACAGACACGTGATTTATTTGATATATAGCATAAAGGAACAAGGAGGAAGAAGGGTAGGAACAGTGACTGTAGCAAAAACCCAAGGACGTGAAACTTGTTGAGTAGGAGGCAGAAAATTTATCAAAGGACTACAAACAGGGGAAGAAAGAAAGATGTATCAAAATCAAATGTGTCATGCTATTTGGCTGCAGATGTTTTGGTAATAAAATCTTATTAACCCGTGAACTTGGTACAATGTCTACAATTGGCACATCATTGTGACAAGAAAAATAGAAAGTGCCTGGGTAACCAGTGTCTGTAAAGCTGGATTAAGAATATATAGGAATTTCTGACTTGAAACACAGAAAAGTGGTTGTTGTCCACATTAACTACTGTGCTAACTACTGTGCGTACTAAGCCGGTTAATTTTAAAGAAAAAATCTATGCTTTTCCTCAGGACAAACAAAACTGCCTGTTATATATGGGTGTCCAATTAAGTGGGTGTCTGTAGATCATAGAGTACTGGGTTATCACTGCATTAATAAATTATTATTTGCAACTAACGTTATGTATTGAAAAACTAAATGGTTCAGTACATCACTAGGTTGCACGATTCTGCTGATAACACAGTGTGCCATAAATTCACTGCCTCTAGGAAGAAGTGTTACACAGTGGAAATTATGTTTATCATGGAGGCCCATCCTTGATTGTGCTCTGTGGGTTTTTCTTGCTGGTTTTTTCCATTGTAAAATATTATTAGAAACTAGCATTTTTAAGAGTTAAAACCCCTAAGAGGGCCTGGGAAGCAGTTTTTAATGTGCGCGGGCCGGTGACCACCTACATTGAGGTGAGGGGGGGGGGGGGGGAGAGAGCAAATTTGGCTGTTCTCTCTTTGTGGCTGTTTAGAACTGTCAGATTACTGAACCTTTCTTGAGTCATTGTTGAGCAGTCATGTTCATAGATTTCAAGCCGCTGAAAAGTACCTTTCTCCTGCTGAGGGTGATTGCACATGCTGAATCCACCACTAGAAGTTTGCAGATCATGATATTACACTGTAGGTTCCTGTAATGCCTTCAATTTGTCTAGCATGTCATTGAAATGTGCCAGAGACCACATCATCACCTGATATAATTCGTTTTAAGAAACCGTAGTTCATGGAGTAGTCTTCAGATTTAATCAAGAACCTTCATCAAAAAAGACTATTCTGCATTGTTGCAAATGCTACATAGCTTTGCTGGTTTGAAAATGCAGAAATCTAGGACGATTGACTTTTTAAGGCTTACCACGCATCAGACTGATGGGATCAAAACGGACCAATAATAAATTTAGATGCTGGAAGATTCTTAT